AACGAGCTCATTTTGAGGCTGTTTGGTTTGTTTTAAACGAGCTAATTGTGAGGCTGTTGGTTTGTTTTCCTGCTCAGAGCCTCCCCAGCTTTGGTCCCTACCTCCATCAGAAGAACGAGACCATAGCAAAGTACAAGAAGCAGCTCAGAGATGCCGGTGAGCCTGAGGGGGGGCGGGCCGATCCCAGCCGGGTCCAAACCGGGAAAAAACCCGTCCCAGCTGTCAAGGTGAGGCTCAAACCTCATAAAACCGCCTTAAAACCCCGAATGGACTGAACCAACTCGGTTTAACGGGGTTCTTCTGGGTCCACAGGACGTGATAGCCAGAGCCCTGAAGTACATCGGGGCGTACCAGGAACTGGACAACATGGAGCAGGTACCAGTTTTAGACTTATTCTGAGGACTAGATGTCAGGAGGGGTAGATCTCAGGTGTGGAGATAGAGGTTTGAAGGGGTTTATTGAACAAAAACGCACTCAAAAGGAGTGGTTGACCAGACAAGGTTCAAAACAAGGCAGACAAAACTATGAACAAAGTATCAAAGCAAGATTAACAAGACTATGGCAAAAGTATCAAATAAAGTAAACAAGACTATGGCAAAAGTATCAAATAAAGTAAACAAGACTATAGCAAAAGTATTAAATAAAGTAAACAAGACTATAGCAAAAGTGTCAAATAAAGCAAACAAGACTATAGCAAAAGTACTAAATAAAGTAAACAAGACTATGGCAAAAGTATCAAATAAAGTAAACAAGACTATAGCAAAAGTATCAAATAAAGTAAACAAGACTATAGCAAAAGTATCAAATAAAGTAAACAAGACTATAGCAAAACAAGGCTGTGACAAAGTGCAAAAATCAAAATCTTACGTGACGTCACATCTGACGTCTGCCAAATGCATGAATATGAATATATGAATGATGAATATCTGGAGTAAGGCTGGAAACAGACATTGATTTCTTGTTTTAGGTCCACATATATCCAGTAAAGAAATGTGGATAAAACCAAAATAAAAGCTACTTATTTGTGAATTAATGAAGTGATTTGCTGTTTTTTTCTCAGGTCCAGGCGTTGATAGATGAAGAAATGTGTATCAACTGTGGCAAATGCTACATGACCTGCAACGACTCTGGATACCAGGTACTTGTGTCCACTAGGGCAGTGTTTTTCAACCCCTGGTCCTCGGTACACTAGTGTGCCGTTAGTGATGGTCAGGTGTAGAAAATAATCCTATTTCACCTAATTGGTCTAAAAAGATTTTTTGATAAGGAATTAATTTTCTGCAAATAATATGCCATTTCTGAGTGTGTGTGCTGTTCTAGTGACTGGTGGAGTAATCATGTAATAATTCCTTATGACTAGATTTTGTATATAATTTTATATATTGAAGTTTGAAATGCAATTTGAAAGAAGAAATATAGGAAATGATAAAAATACATTTTTGTGTTTATTTGATTCCTATTCAAGACACTTAAGATAAGATAAGAATAAAATAAGAATAACTATAGTGTTACTATAGGTAGATAAAATAAGAATAAGATAAGAATAAAATAAGAATAACTATAGTGTTACTATAGGTGGATACAGATTTGTTTGACATTTTTGGTTGGTGGTGTGCCTCGTGATTTTTTCTATGAAAAAATGTACCTTGGCTCAAAAAAGGTTGAAAAACACTGCACTAGGGGATAATCTTTTCTCCTTTAGTAGTATTAATTTCTACAACGTGCCTTTCTAAACTTGTGTCCAGGCCATCCAGTTCGACCCAGAGACCCACCTGCCCCTGGTGACGGACACCTGCACGGGCTGCACACTCTGCCTCAGCGTGTGTCCAATAATAGACTGCATAAAGATGGTGAAGAGGAAAACACCTTATGTACCCAAGAGGGGGATTCCCATCAGTCCCGTCTGCTAAAAAAACGAACACTAATACTGTCCAGCTCTCCAATAATGAGGGGAAAGCTGCCTGCTTCTGACAAAGTGTTTTGGATTTATGCTAAATAGTAATCATTTTATCTAATTTATTCTGATTTCCATTTATGGTTAATTGTGTAATCTTTTATCTAATTTTATCCTTAATATAGTTTATGATTTTAATAGAGATATTCTCACTCACTGAATTAATGTAGAAACCACAAAATAAGAGAAGAAGGCCTCTGTTTATGACGCACACTTTACCAGAGTAATAAGTTTAAATCGTGAACTGACACACCACTAATTCAAGACTATTTTACTAAAGTGTAAGAAGAAAATAAATAAGTCTCTGAATATCAAATGTTCACATTGTGTTTGTTTTAATGTGTGTGAAAAGTTGAAGTACAGTGAAATCCATCTTACTTTTTTAAAGATTAGGTTTCAATACTAAGACTTTATATATATTATATTATTATATATACTTTAAATATATTTCTCTTATGTATATTTTATTTCTCCAGGAAAAAAAGTTATTTGACAGATAAATCATTTCTCACATAGCATAAAACTTGCACAAGGATATTTAAAGTATTATAGACATCAACATTGGGACAGGATAAACCTCCTTATTCTCCTCTGTTGACATTTAAAATGCTCAAATATGAGCTGAATGACAATTATTAATCATTTTGTCCGTTTTTCAGTTGTTAAACTGAACTAAAAATGACTCAATTTATAGAATATACTGTGAATTTACACCAGTTAATTTCCTCGACTTACAAAACGGAACATTAACTTTTAATATTAACAGTTTATTTCAACTAAAATGCGTCTTGGGACGCCTTAAGGGTGGGAGTTGTAGTACCGACCCCCAGCGGAGGGTGGCGCCAGAGCGCCGCATCGCTGTCAGTGGCTCAACGCCATTAAAATGCAAGAAGAAGAAACACGCCCATTTTGCTTGCCGTGTCTGCAACGAAGCTTAAATATCAACAAAACAGAAGCGGACAAAGAGCTGCGATGGATGGGTAAATCTTTATTTACCACAAACAACGCGTTTGCGTGAACATTTCCCGTGTTTTAGATCGCGTGTGGGACATTTCGGGGATTTCCTTTCCGCTGTTCTAGGTTAGCTAATGTTAGCTATGCTAACGCTAGCTTAGGTGTGAGCCGCCGTTAGCCTGTTCACGACGTGGGGCTGAATGGAGGCGTAAGTCCGCGGGAAGAGCTGTCAAAAAGCAGGTTTATCCCTAAATACACCGGAAATGTGACAAGCTGTGGTTTGTGAGCTAATGCAGCCCTACTGTCCCACATTGTCCTGCGCAGGACGTTAGCTTAGCGGCCGGCGGGGGTTTGTTTTTTAAAGATTTAGGGGTTAGGTGTTTCTGTATTTATGTTTTGTTAATGGTATGAATCATTTAGCTGTCTCTGTGTTGAATGCTTTTTTGGATAAATGTCAGTGGGGCTCCTGATGAGGCTTCTTTGTCTGAGGCTGTGATGCTTTGACCAGAACACCTGATCAATAACCTTATCAATATGGATAAAACAGGAAATGGGATATTCCAGTTAGCTTATAGCCGTTGGGGATAAATGAAACAGCACTGGACAAACATTTTTAATTATTGAGGGAAGAAAGATCAGCTCAGAAAATACAAAACAAACCACCAGACCCACAGATTTCTACCAGGCTGTTTTATTAATACTAAATCCAAAAATGTAGTTTTCCACTGTTCAGATTAGCTATTTTATTCATGCTAAATTCCCTAACTTTCCTCATAAAAAGCTGTTGTGGTACTGACGTTTTAATTGTATGTTTTAATTGTATTTTTCCTGTTGTTTTCTTCTATAAAATATGCTCCACTTTTGCTTTTACTAATTTTTTAAAGATCATTGCTGCCTTACAGTGAATATTATGTAGATATTGGGTTATAAATTCAGATGGGTCACACAATAAAAATGTTCTTTGGGTAGATTAGGGTTTATGGGTCTGACCCCAAGAACCGATGCTGCATTCCTCTGCTGGGCTTTTAGCAAAGCTGCTCCAGTAGAGATTAAACCTGGGGACATTTTTTCTAGTCCAGGTGATTAGGGTAAATTTATAATGTATATTTTCAATTTAAAATATGAAAATACAAAACCCAGCACTGTTATATTTGTTTAGAAAGATTTAAAATGGTTTCTGTCTTCAGTTTTTTGCTGCTGTAGCTCTAATGTGCACCAAAATGCCTTTTCAGTTTAACCAAACATGGTTGTATCTCTGAACTTGTTTGATTCAGGGCAGTTTTGTGCCTTTTCAGTTTAATCAAACATCCTTTAATCTTAATTTTGAGATTAAATTTGGGGACATTTTTTCTTATTTCGAACAAAGGCCCAAACATGAAGTCAGTCGAGGGGATTAGGGTCAGTTTATAATGTATATTTTTAATTTAAAGTACAAAACCCAGCACTGTTCTATTTCTTTAGAGAGATTTAAACTGGTTTCTGTTTTTCTTGTTGGTTGTATCTCTGAATTTGAGGGATCCTGGGCAGTTTTGTGCCTTTTCAGTTTAACCAAACACCCTTTAATCTTTATCTTTTCTGCTTCTATCTGCAGTGATGTTGCAGTCGGTGTGAAGGTACGTTAGCTTTTCCTTTATCTGTGTAGACTTCCTGTTGTTTTCGGGGGGGAATTAAAGCTTTTATTTTTGTGTTTTCTCCAGAGAGGCTCAGATGAGCTCACCATGTACGGGAGCAGCCCCAACTCCATGACCGGTGAGTTTAGTGGAGACCATTATTATAATTTTGGCTCCTTAATGTTTGACCCCTTGCTGATTTTGCAGGTTTGCCCACTTACAAAGAATGCAACGATCTATAACTTTAATCATATGTACATTCTAACAGTGAAAGACAGAATCCCAAAGAAATTCCATAAAATCACATCATATGAATTTATAAAAATTGATAACCATCTGATGAGGAAAAATAAGCATTCTTTGTAAGTGGGCAAACCTGC